TCATCATCACCATCATCACTACATTACCTCACATCACCTCCATCACTTCATTACCTCCATCACTACATTACCTACATCACTTCCATCATCATCATCACCTCCATCATCATTATCATCACCATCACTACATCACCTTCATCATCACTTCCATCATCATCATCATCACCTCCATCACCACCAGGCTCAGAGGCTTTAGCTGCAGGGACAGACTGAGATAAAACTATACACAGTCCCCCTGACCTCTGATCTGTCAGGAGCCACCAACAGAGCTGGAGAGTAAATGATTAGATTTCGGAGAAGGAAGGTTCTTGAGTATTCCCAGTATCCGTCACTGTATATTTGTACTCACACGTTTTATTTTACATAGATACACACAATAATACGTTAATGTCTAACATCTTCAGCCGTGAAACATCTGCGGCTGCATCTGTGCAGAACTTTACACTCCACCGTGTCACTGTCTCTTTAATACGTTTATATACACGTCACTGCTGATTGGACAACACCTCTGACACACCCACCAACCAGACAAAACCAACCTTGAAGCTCGTCGACACCGTTCACACGTCTGACTGTTAATTGATGTTTGATTAAGTGATGGAGATGATTTGATCATAATTGATTAATCAAATAGTTATGGAGCAGCTGAAGGTTTAATGACTCACCTGTCTACCTGCCTTTCAGGTGTGTTGCGGGGGGGGCAACAGCTCAACGACAATGTCTTTGTGAGAGTGGGCGGGGCTACCTGGCCCTGAGCTGTAAGGAGGAGGAGGAGTCTCAGCCCTTGGCCCCAATCCCCTCCTCCTCCTGCAACTGACCAAACGGCTGGACGCACAGACGGGCGTGGCTCGCCCCTCCCTCCTCCTCCCCTCTCCTCCCTATTCTCTCCCCCTCCACCTCCCACCTACTGCCCACCTCCCCACCCCATCTCCCCGCTCTGCCCCCCCATCCCTGGCCACCATGCTGTGGTCACGCTGCTGGTGGAAAGCCTGAGGAAGACTCTGGAAGGCGACCCTGCTCAGCCGGGGGACTTCTACCTGGTGAGTCTCTGACGCCCCTCACCTGTTCTCAGCCTGTCACATGCCCCGATCACACCTGCTGACGACCTCCGTCCTGAGAGAGCCAATCACAGGTGGAGAACTCTCATTTCCTCAGCTCCCAACAACACTAAGATGACTCTGACATTTTAAAACTAAATCCCCCCTTTGTCCACATAAAGGACCAGAAAACACATATCAATCAAATTATATATGTACGTATGTCACATGTCCGTTCATATCGTCTCCTCTGCAGTTGGTTGCTTAGTTACAAAAAAACTTCTATGACAAACAATGAAGTTGAAAAGTCAGAGCAGGGATTTCTTTTCTCTGAGCGAAGACGAGGTGGAACTGTTACTGACAGGAAGTGTTAGCGACGCTTTGTCTTCACCGCTGGCAGTCCAGTAAGTCTCAGTTTCTGTTCAGACTAAAACACAACCGCAGAGTTTTCAAGTCTCTGATATAGAGGCTGGAAAAGAACAAAACAATAAAACTTCTGTTGGATGGTTCGTCAATTGAATGAATTTTTCTTTCAGAAAATCGCACTGAAATGTGAAAAGTTGAATTCTGTCGTGGCTGGAATAAAACCACCCTGAGCTAAAGCTGCAGTTCAATCATGTGTCCACTGGGTGTTGCTCAAGACAGTCTGGTTCCTCTTCTCGACCTCAGTCTTTATTAAAATAAAGATTCACGTTTTGTCACAAATGCAACAAAATGTTTAGAACTAGAACACAATTTAAACATAAATCTTTATTGATTCTGTTAAATAAAAGTTTCATATGAACATAAATAAACACCAATTAAAGAATCATACACATGACATGAGAGAAGACGTGTTGTTGACCTTGTGTCTCTTGTTTTGGTCTTTCAGTCCCTGCTGGACCCCAACACCCTCGCTGAGTGCTGCCCCCCTCATGGCTTGATGCCTGGTGAGTCGAAACATACAAGACTCTTATTTTGATCATTTATTTCCTCAAATTCAAGAAGAGATAATATAACACAGTGATGTCACTGATCACAATGTGTGTGTGTGTGTGTGTGTGTGTGTGTGTGTGTGTGTCCTCAGAGAGCAGCTACTGGCAGCTCTGCCCTCCCTCTAAGTCTGGCCTGCAGGGGGGGTTGCTGAGCTCTAGTTTCCCGCCTGGCCCTGTGCCGTTGGTGCCACCCGATGCTCACCTGCAGGAGGGGGGCGACCCCCTGGACAGGACAGCCTCTCAGCCGCCGCAGCACCGGCCTCTGGCACCCAGCACCTCAGCGTCAGAGCTGTCCCTCCCCGGAGCGGCTACGGCAGCACCACCTCCTGCACCCGGCCTCCCTCCCCCTCCTCCCCCGCCTCCCAAACGCCACTGCCGTTCACTGTCGGTGCCCGAGGACCTGTCACGCTGCCGTTACACCTGGCGCCCCAGCGCGTCACGGGTCTGGACTCCCGTCAGCCGCCAGCAATGCCACGGTGGAGCCGGGGGAGGGGTTACAGGTGGGGGGGCAGGGGTGGGAGGAGGGGTTATAGGGGCAGGTGCCGCTGGGGGCGGAGCATGTCCACTCCGCGCTCCCAGCTCCTCTCTGAACTCGTCACTGCACTCCTCGTCCAGCCCCACCTTCTTCAGCCTGGCGCTGTCTCCGGACTCGCCGCTGCCCTGGAGCTTCCCCTGGGACGCTAGTGAGGCAGCGGCAGGGGGCGGAGCCTGCTGCTGCTTCTTTCCTTCCCCCTCCTCCTGCTCCTCCTCACCCTCTCCCCTCCACCCGCCTCCCCCTCCTCAGAGGCGTTTCTCTCTCTCCCCCGTGCTCATCAGAGACTCCGCAGCCTCCACCTTCCTGCCTCCACCTCCCGTGCCGAGCCAGGTGGCACCACCTCCGCCAGGTGGCCCCACACCTGTCGGGGCGGCTGTGGGGGGCCCGGTGCCTGCATCGCCATCCTCAGCCTGCAGCACACCGTCGTCTCTGAGACGTAGCCTGCCGCCACAGCTGCCGCGCTGCCACTCGCAGCCATGTGACCTGCTGCTGCTCAAACCAGGTTTGAAGAGACGGCGAGACCCTGACAGACCGTGTGCCCGACCCGTCCTCGACTTCACTAAGATGACTCAGGTACGGCCGAACTATCGCCAACAGTGTAACAGATTCTATATAATGGATTTATTATTTATTCAATAAGATCTTTACCCCTCTCTTATTGATCGATGTAAATATAGATTCTTAGTTTTTCTTCTTGACCCTCCTCCTGTCATCCCTGCAGACCCGCAGCATCGACCCGCAGTGTCTGGAGCGTGGCGGCGGCAGGCTGGCCTGCGGAGGTGACGTCTGCATGGGCATGGAGTCCTTCATGGGCGACTTCCGGAGGTCCTGCTCTCCAGCCGAGTGCCTGGGCAGGACCAGCATCGGGCCGCTGAGCGAGAGCGATGAGGAGTGCCGCGAGGACGAGGACGATGACGACGAGGGGGAGGAGGAAGCGGACGAGCGTGAGGCGGCGCAGCAGGCAGTGTTTGAGAGGGATTGTACAGAACTCGACTTGAACTTAATAGAAGAAAACTGACGTCTTTGTAAATGGAAGGCTGTTTTCTGTTTCACTTCTTTAGTTTTATTTTGAAAGGATCGAACCCCTCGCCCCTTCCTGGACTACCCTCATCTCAACACTCTACGCCTCCTTGCCACCAATCAGCAAGGCTCTCAGGAACAACACCTCTCATTGGATGAGCTGGGGTTAAGGAAGCAGACAACAGTGATGATGTGACGCCGCCGCTTTTGAACCCTCTGCTGTTTGATTTGAAAACCAGGAAGTTAGAAGTGAAACTCTGGTCGCCTGCGATGAACCTCGACATTCTGAGTCCCAGTCTGCAAATTGTCCTCCGAAAGTTTCAATTACTGCTTCTACTGACGCCGCTCTCACGCCATCGCTCAGGTCCATATCTGCAGCTGGGCTCAGACTGTCAGGTGTCCATCAGCGGCTCTGCCTCCTGGCGTCCAGGTGTCTTCCAGCACATAGCAACTGAGAAACACGTTCGTCTGATGAGGCTCCACACTGCACCGCCAACCCGACACGCCATTATCACGTCAACGCAACACATTCTGAGACATGGTCAGTTCAAATCACAAACAATTTAAGATAACATTTAAATTAAAAAAAGTTAACTCAACACGAAAAAACTAAATTAGTCCACGTTTTATTTTTAATTGAGTCTCGTTCAGTTTCAGTTTAGTCGTTAAATTTGGTTCATGACCTTTTTTTCACACAACAAAGACAAAAAAAAGATAAAACAGTTTGAGGAAATGTTTGTTTGTGCATCACGTATATCATTTAATTTGTATTCCTCCACTTCAGTTCTTGTGTTCTACTGGTTTTATTTAAACTAAAATACAAACACTGATGAATGTTTCCTGTAGATGCAGCAGACAAACTGAGAATTCAGAATAAAACACGATCACGACTCTTTAAAACCTTAATTACGAGCGTGAAGAACAAAAGAGAGTAAAGATGAGGCTTCAAGCGTCTGATTGGTTGAGCTCAGTCGACACAGATTTAACATAAGAAAAGCAGCTAAAAGAAAACATGTTAAACTTTAACACGTGTGTAACGTGTGTGAGCTGAGCCCTCGAACATGAATATGATGATTCATAGTAAATTTAATAAATAACAAGTGAAGCTGCTTGTGTCACAGTTATTGATTCACAGTAAAACATATCTCTAAATTAACTTATGTTGATCATCATTTTAATCTGTTAACTTTATTTATAACAATAAATACATAAATCTCACCTGTTAAAAAATAAACTGCATGTCTCAGTCATGTGACCTTGGCGTAGTGATGCGTTCAGGTTTGCTGGTGCGTTGTGGTGTTGTCCCATCAGGTAATATGAGGGCAGGTAGCCACTGATGCTGTTGTTCACCTGAGTGTTCTCACATTCCCGCCTCACTACAAATACCCACTGTGTGTGTGTGTGTGTGTGTGTGTGTGTCATGTGACTTGTGTCCAGATTGAATCCAGATTGTCATTTATGCTCCACAGTTACGTGTTAAAGTTTAAACCAAATTTAACATAAATTCTAACTAAATATCCACAAACATCGTTCAGAAACTGTTGCACGCATCGTAAACCTCTGTTGCATGGAAATGAGGATTTGGTTTGTTTAGATAAAACCGTTGATGAGGTGATTATTTTATTTAATTTAATATTTTTTAAACTGCTGATGACGAAAGTGTGACATTTCAGTTCAGATCACAAACAATAGATTTCTGACCTGCCATGAATCTGATCATCTGTTCAACAGAAAATCATTTTAATGGTTAATCAGGCATCAGGGTGATTATCAGAAAATAAATTATTCTTTATTTGAGAAGCGTAAAAGCACTTTTCTGTGTTTTATTGAAAACAGGCCGTCTGTGTTATTAAGTGTTGAAGTGACGACGAGTACGTTCAGAGTCTGATCACAAGAACTTTTTCATGATGTCGAAATCAAATTTCTTAATCTGGATTTAATCTCGACGCTGATGATTCACAGAACCACTGGGTGTGATTGTGAATGAAAGTATTTTTACAAAAGAACAAAAACTACACGTTAAAGGTTTTGAACATTTCCCTGCGTTGGTGCTGTTGACAGCTGCATATAGAACAACATGGCTTCTTCTTTTACATGTTTGAGGTTCTTCACATTCCTGCTGATCAAATCAGATTCATTTCCTTTTCTTCCAATCTACCATTTTATTTCCTTACCTGCAGCCTGTGTTCAGATAGTCCATCACAGTGGCTTTTTTGGAGGTCGTGTTTTAGTTTTTGTACGTGATAAAAACTATCACATGGTGAGACGGTTGAAAACAAACTCTAGACGTCTCTTTAGTGATGCAGTCATTCCGAGTAGCTTCTAAAAATCATTCAAGAGATAATAATTCAAACTTTATCCCAGAAGACAATCAAGAGGAACATTACAAATATATGTACACGAAGGCTGTAACACAAACTGTAACACAAACTGACTCTGTCCCCTTAACACAAACAGTGTCATAGAATCAAATTGTCCCTGAATGCACCAAAAACACTGCAACATGTTTTTGACCAAAAAGAACTAAAATAAAGTGACTGTGATGGATTATCGTCGTTTTATTTTGGCAACTTAACTGTTAAATTTTCAGATTTTTTTTTTAAGAGAATGAAATGAAAAGTGAACGTAGTAAAAGTCGCTATCGTTCGTGTCTTAGTGACGATGTTTGATCTGATGATAGAAAACAGCGTGGGTTGACTGTGCGACAATCTGGTTAAAAAAACTAAATTAAATTGGCTCAGATTCATATAAGAATTAAGGAAAATGAAAAATGAAAACTAAATTTAAAACAGTGCTCAGAAGAAATGTCCCAGCAAAACACACACACATGTTGTCGGAGGACACCTTTGGGGACCCAGACTTGCATTAATTGCCTGGAGGTTTAAATCAACTTTAACATGTCCCCACATGTGGCCTATGACAGAAGAACACACACTGATACCCCCCCCCATCCACCCCCTTGTTCGTTGGTTAGTTTCTGCTGATCGCTCATTACAGCATTCGCCTTAACTGAACATATTCTACTATTCTGTAAATCAAAATGTTCAAAAGAAAAAAAAGGTAAAGACAAAACTAACGGAGAAGAAATGGAAACGTGTACTGTAGCTGTTAAATTTTTAGTCCTTCTGTTGGTTATCTGCTGTTTTTTCTTAATATTTCTAATCTGAGCGCGGCGAGATGTCGTGATGATGATGATGATGATGAAGAACACATCGTGTTTAGGAGAAAAAATAAGAAGCTTCAGTAGGAGGATGAGCGGTCGTGTACAAAGTTAGCGCAGAGACTCGGACATCTCTCGTCTTTTAGAAATGTTTTTTATTGTATGTGATTAAAAGGACAAAAAACAACATGGCAATTTGAAAAGCAGTTTGTGAATAAATTAAGTTTAATGAGAATTATTTTACAAAGAAAGAAGAAAACTGGCGTCCTGTCTTTCTTCTCGTCGCTCACATCAAATCTTCACAAGTTAATTTCAAATCTTCTCAGTTTTTATACAATTAAAATAAAAGAACAAACACTGGTTCTTTACGTTAAACTGCGACCCCGCCCACCACCAACATGCAACCACAGGATTGGACGCTGCTGTTTTGCTACAAAAATAAATGACGCTAGCATGCGAAGCTCTCATGAGCGAAACAATCAGAAGTCACAAACTAAGCAAGAGTGCTGGAAGTTGGGTTTCTGAGGGGCGGCAGCACCCCAACCGACCGGGGGTGTGACTGCAAGTTCCAAAAGAAGCTGACCAAGCACACGTCATGAAAACTCACTGAAGTGGTTTTCTCTTCTCTCTGATGTTTGTTCAAGTTCCTGATCAGTTTGGTTTGAATCAGACGTGATGATTGACAGCTGAGACTGACTCAGGATTGGTTGAACAGATTTTATATCAAATCTTTGTGGTGGAGATAAAAAATGTGATCAACAAATAATTTAAAATCATATTCACACAGGCGAGTTCATTGGATTCGACCGGCTGTAGCTAGCTACGAAGTTAAGCAAGCGTTAGCTCGACAGTGAAACTGTTAAACAACAGTTTAGTTGTGAGTCGTTGGTTTATGAGTAAAAACTGATTCTGTTGTTTCTCACATTAAACAAACATTTCATCCGTTTACACAAGTTTATTATAAACAGTTAAATTTTTGGGATCAAAGTGCAACAAAATAATCGACTTCACGTTCCCTCGCTCAGTCAGAGATATGTTTCACAAACAAGATGGTTCACTCTGATCTCTGGTAAGTTTAACACCATACATTAATAATGAGTCATAAAGTTATGAATGAATATTGAAGGAATATTTTTGTGTCTATCACTGAATCGTCATATGAGAAGTTAATTATTAAAACAAAATCTGTTTCATGTTCCCTCAGTCAAACTGAAACTACAGACGTGTGAACAGCTGCTTCAGTTTTTGTCTGTGGTGCTGATCTCTGAGGATGAGCTGCTCCCCTCCGGACCCTCGCTGGACAAAGAGGTAATGGCCGGGGCCGAGGTGACATTGATGGGGACGACCCTCTCCTTCCCATCGCTAAACGATCCCTCACGGGGCGCCTGGATCTGCAGCCGGCCTCCCAACAGGGAACAGCTGACGGTCTCAGGGTTGACGCCGTCTGGCAGGTCGAACTCCTGCCTGAACTCCTGACACTTGTACGAGTAGGAGCCCTTCCCGTCATCCTGCTTCTTCTCCGTCCTGCCGCTCACCCTCAGCTTCCTGCCCACCTGTTTGACCGACAGCTCCTCTGGGGTGAACTCCTTCGTGTCAAGGCTGAGGGCGAAGCTGCTGCCATCCCTCCCCAGGTCCTGAAAGGCGATGGGCATGAAGACGCCCTTAGAGCCGGAGGTGTGGTCGATCTCGTCGAAGATCTTCTGGTGCAGCCTCTCCATGTGCTCGATGCTCTGCTTCACCTCCTGCATGTGGCGGATCATCTCCTGCTCCATGTGGTAGAACAGCGGCCGTGTCTCGGGCCACAGGCTGCGGATCGGCCAATGCAGGTCCAGGAAAGGCCTCATGGTGACGGGGGACGGCTGGAAGACGCTGGGACACAACATCCTGAGGTCTGGTGATCTCAAGTCCTGGTTTCAGAGCTGCAGCTTCGGTCTCCAGTCTGTTTGTCTGTCAGATGTCCTGCCTCTATACTGGTTATATATACACACACACACACACACACACACAC